GGTCATGAAATAAGGGGGATACCTCTGGTCTGGGTTGAGGTACAGTGCTGAGGTCATTAAATAAGGGGGCTACCTCTGGTCTTGGTTGAGGTACAGTGCTGAGGTCATTAAATAAGGGGATACCTCTGGTCTGGGTTGAGGTACAATGCTGAGGTCATTAAATAAGGGGGCTACCTCTGGTCTTGGTTGAGGTACAGTGCTGAGGTCATTAAATAAGGGGATACCTCTGGTCTGGGTTGAGGTACAGTGATGGGGCCATGAAATAAGGGGATACCTCTGGCTAGTTGGTTAATGGGGTTTAAAGCCTGTCGAGTACACGATGATCATGAAGGCTGAATGTCATCTGTTTACTACCAGTCAACAATATATTAATGCGTACCATTAACAGGGATTACAGTGTATTCTCACTGTATACTTTGAGTTACACACCTCACGATGTACATACACTGTGATATACAACTCTCGGCAGTATTAGACCTACATTTTTTGGGGCCCTCACGTTTGAACTGTTATGGGGACCCTGAAGCACTGAACTGTTATGGGAACCCTGAAGCTTGAACTGTTATGGGGGCCCTGAAGCTTGAACTGTTATGGGGGCACCTGAAGCTTGAACTGTTATGGGGTACCTGAAGCTTGAACTATTATGGGGGCACCTGAAGCTTGAACTGTTATTGGGGCCCTGAAGCTTGAACTGTTATGAGGGCCCTGAAGCTTGAACTGTTATGGGGGCCCTGAAGCTTGAACTGTTATGGGGCACCTGAAGCTTGAACTGTTATGGGGGCCCTGAAGCTTGAGCTGTTATGAGGGCCCTGAAGCTTGAACTGTTATGGGGGACCTGAAGCTTGAACTGTTATGGAAGCCCTGAAGCTTGAACTGTTATGGAAACCCTGAATCTTGAACTGTTATGGGGCCCTGAAGCTTGAACTGTTATGGGGGCCCTGAAGCTTGAACTGTTATGGGGGCCCTGAAGCTTGAACTGTTATGGGGGCCCTGAAGCTTGAACTGTTATGGGGGCCCTGAAGCTTGAACTGTTATGGGGGCCCTGAAGCTTGAGCTGTTATGGGGGCCCTGAAGCTTGAACTGTTATGGGGCCCTGTAGCTTGAACTGTTATGGGGGCCCTGAAGCTTGAACTGTTATGGGGGCCCTGAAGCTTGAACTGTTATGGGGGCCCTGAAGCTTGAACTGTTATGGGGGCCCTGAAGCTTGAACTGTTATGGGGGCCCTGAAGCTTGAACTGTTATGGAAGCCCTGAATCTTGAACTTTTATGGGGCCCTGAAGCTTGAACTGTTATGGGGGCTCTGAAGCTTGAACTGTTATGGAAGCCATGAATCTTGAACTGTTATGGGGGGCCTGAAGCTTGAACTGTTATGGGGCCCTGAAGCTTGAACTGTTATGGGGGCCCTGAAGCTTGAACTGTTATGAGGGCTCTGAAGCTTGAACTGTTATGGGGCCCTGAAGCTTGAACTGTTATGGGGGCCCTGAAGCTTGAACTGTTATTGGGCCCTGAAGCTTGAACTGTTATGGGGGCCCTGAAGCTTGAACTGTTATGGGGCCCTGAAGCTTGAACTATTATGGGGGCCTTGAAGCTTAAACTGTTATGGGGGCCCTGAAGCTTGAACTTTTATGGGGCCCTGAATCTTGAACTGTTATGGGGGCCCTGAAGCTTGAACTGTTATGGGGCCCTGAAGCTTGAACTGTTATGGGGGCCCTGAAGCTTGAACTGTTATGGGGGCCCTGAAGCTTGAACTGTTATGGGGCCCTGAAGCTTGAACTGTTATGGGGGCCCTGAAGCTTGAACTGTTATGGGGGCCCTGAAGCTTGAACTGTTATGGGGCCCTGAAGCTTGAACTGTTATGGGGGCCCTCAAGCTTGAACTGTTATGGGGGCCCTCAAGCTTGAACTGTTATGGGGGCCCTCAAGCTTGAACTGTTATGGGGACCCTGAAGCTTGAACTGTTATGGAGGCCCTGAAGCTTGAACTGGGGTAATAACCTGCTTGACTTAGTTATGACAAACAATGAATCCCTTGTTAATAATTTAGAAATTTCAGAGGAACTGGGTGCTAGCGACCACAAATCAATTACATTTAGAATTGAATGGAAGTATGATAGTAGGGATAACTCAGTAACAGTCCCAGATTTTCGCTTAGCAGATTACGATGGGCTTAGAGAACACTTATCATCTGTTGACTGGGGTAACGAAGAGAGCTATCAATATGACAGTTTTCTGAACACAATACATGCTGCTCAAAGAACGTTTATCCCTTATAAGGAAATTAGATCAAATAGAAATGACCCAAAATGGATGAATAATAGGCTCAAATATCTACTAGGGCATAAGAAAGGAATTTATAGGCGTATCAAAAGAGGCGAGGGTCATCTTATGAATCAGTATATTGACATTAAGAGGGACATTAAAAAGGGGATAAGAAAAGCTAAAAGGGACTATGAAATTAAAGTTGCTAGGGATTCTAAAACTAACCCAAAAAGTTTTTTCCAGGTCTATAGAACAAAAGTCAGAGATAAGATAGGTCCCCTTAAAAATAACTATGGGCATCTTACTGACAAAGAGAATGAAATGTGCTCGATTTTAAATAATTATTTTCTCTCGGTTTTTACACAGGAAGACACTAATGATATTCCTGTAATTAATTTTTATAGTGGATCAGAAGAAGATAAATTATGTAACATCACAGTCACTAGTGAAATGGTCGTGAAGCAGATAGACAGACTGAAGCAAAATAAGTCACCGGGTCCTGATGAGGTTTTTTCAAGGGTTCTTAAGGAATGCAAAATGGAAGTCTGTGAACCATTAACTAATATTTTTAATTTATCTATTCAAACAGGTGTAGTGTCTGATATGTGGAAGATGGCTAATGTAATTCCTATTTTTAAAACAGGGGACAAGTCGTTACCGTCAAATTACCGCCCAATAAGCCTGACCTCAATTGTAGGCAAATTACTAGAGTCAATTATAGCTGAGATTATAAGAAGCCATCTCGATAAGCATAGCTTGATTAATGATACTCAGCATGGATTCACAAGAGGCCGGTCTTGTCTAACTAATTTATTAACTTTCTTCAGTAAAGCTTTTGAGGCTGTTGACCACGATAAAGAATTTGATATTGTTTACTTAGATTTTAGTAAGGCATTTGATTGAGTTCCGCACCAAAGGCTGTTGAAGAAAGTAGCAGCTCATGGCATTGGGGGAAGGGTGCTCTCGTGGATCGAATCATGGCTCACAGACAGGAAGCAGAGAGTGTCCATAAAAGGGGTTAAATCCGAGTGGGGATCAGTAACAAGTGGCGTTCCACAGGGATCAGTCTTGGGCCCGTTGTTGTTTATAATATATATCAATGATCTTGATGAAGGAATTACTAGTGATATGAGCAAATTCGCCGATGATACGAAGATAGGTAGGATAATTGATTCAAACGTAGATGTTAGGGAACTTCAGGAGGATTTAGACAAACTCTACTCTTGGTCAGAAAAGTGGCAGATGCAGTTCAATGTAGATAAATGCAAGGTTCTGAAGCTCGGGAGTGTCCATAACCCTAGCACTTATAAGTTAAATAATGTAGAACTTAGCCATACAGATTGCGAAAAGGACTTGGGGGTTATGGTAAGCAGCAACCTTAAACCAAGACAGCAATGCCTAAGCGTACGTAATAAGGCAAATAGATTACTGGGATTTATATCAAGAAGTGTAAGCAACAGAAGTCCAGAGGTCATACTGCAGCTTTATACATCATTAGTAAGGCCTCACCTAGATTATGCAGCTCAATTCTGGTCTCCATATTACAGAATGGACATAAATTCGTTAGAAAACATTCAGCGTAGGATGACTAAATTAATACATAGCATTAGAAATCTTCCTTATGAAGAAAGATTGAAGACTCTTAAGTTACATTCACTTGTTAGACGAAGAATGAGGGGAGACCTGACCGAAGTGTATAAGTGGAAGATAGGTATTAATAAAGGGGATATTAATAAGGTCTTGAGGATGTCTCTCCAAGAGAGAACCCGCAGTAATGGATTTAAATTAGATAAGTTTAGATTTAGAAAGGACATAGGAAAGTATTGGTTTGGAAATAGGGTAGTTGATGAGTGGAACAGTCTATCTAGTTGGGTTATTGAGGCTGGGACTTTGGGTAGTTTCAAATTTAGGTTGGATAAGTACATGAGTGGGAGGGGTTGGACTTGAGTGGGACTTGCACATCAGTGCTTATTTCTTGGGTGGCATTGAAAATTGGGTTGGGCAAATGTTTTGTTAGTGGGATGAATTGTAAAGGACCTGCCTAATATGGGCCAACGGGCCTCCTGCAGTGTTCCTCCTTTCTTATGTTCTTATGTTATGGGGCCCTGAAGCTTGAACTGTTATGGGGCCCTAAAGCTTGAACTATTATGGGGGCCCTGAAGCTTGAACTGTTATGGGGGCCCTAAAGCTTGAACTATTATGGGGGCCCTAAAGCTTGAACTATTATGGGGGCCCTGAAGCTTGAACTGTTATGGGGGCCCTAAAGCTTGAACTATTATGGGGGCCCTGAAGCTTGAACTGTTATGGGGGGCCCTTTGCAACCCCTTCTCATACAGTAGACCCAAAAATTTTAAGGAACGTGAACTAAAGTCGCTTCTGGGGCCCTTCCGGGTTTAGGGGCCCTGAAGCTTAACCTTTATTAGTTTCATAGTAGATCCGCCCCTGCCTCAGTGTATATACACTGAGAGATATACATATTTCAGTGTATATACACTGAGAGATATACATCTTTCAGTGTATATACACTGAGAGATATACATCTTTCAGTGTATATACACTGATACCCCGCAATGTATATACACTGATATGCACCTCTTAGTGTATATATACTGAGAGATATATGCCTCTCAATGTATATACACAGATGTACACCTCTCATTGTATATACACCTCTGTATACATACACGAAAGCCATTTTAAATAAATTTCTCGTAATACAGTAGCATACAACAGTACTGTATTCTCAGTACATCTCGTAATACAGTAGCATACAACAGTACTGTATTCTCAGTACATCTCGTAATACAGTAGCATACAACAGTACTGTATTCTCAGTACATCTCGTAATACAGTAGCATACAACAGTACTGTATTCTCAGTACATCTCGTAATACAGTAACATACAACAGCACTGTATTCTCAATACATCTCGTAATACAGTAACACAACGGTACTGTATTCTCAGTACATCTCGTAATACAGTAACATACAACAGTACTGTATTCTCAGTACATCTCGTAATACAGTAGCATACAACAGTACTGTATTCTCAGTACATCTCGTAATACAGTAACATACAACAGTACTGTATTCTCAATACATCTCGTAATACAGTAGCATACAACAGTACTGTATTCTCAGTACATCTCGTAATACAGTAACATACAACAGTACTGTATTCTCAGTACATCTCGTAATACAGTAACATACAACAGTACTGTATTTTATTCCCAATACATCTAAAATTTATGATAAAGAAAAATACATTCATTTTATATTTTTTATTTTAGCGGTAAATAAATAATGTATAAAGGCATAAATAAATAAAGAAGCGAAAAATAAAACCAGCGAAAATTCTACTGACTTGATTAAGTATCCCTCAGAGAGGTATCCCAGAAAGAGGTATACTTAAAGGGGGTATCCCTGAGATATACATCAGAGAGGTATGCATAAAGGGTATCCAAAGATGTATACATGAAGGGATATCCAGAGGTATACATAAAGGAGTATCCTCAGGTATACATAAAAGGGTATCCATCAAAAAATATACCTAAAGGTGTATCCCTCAAAGAGATATATTAAGAGTATGCCTAAAAACTATACCTAAAGGGGTATCCATCAAAGAGATATACCTAAAAAGTATCCCTCAAATAGCTATACATAAAGGGGTATCCATGACAGGAGTATCCCTCAAAAGGATATCCCCAAAAGGGTATCCACCAAGAGATGTACCTAAAGGAATATCCCTCAAATGGTATTCCAAAGGTGTTTTCATGAAAGTATCCCTCAGAAAGGTATACTTCAAGGTAGTATCTCATGTGTATGCATCAAAGAGGTATACAAGAACATCCCTAGAGAGTTATTCATCAGTTGGGTGTCCTCAAAAGGGTATCCCTAAGAGTTATCAATCAAATGAGTACCACAAGGATGTATTCCTCAAAGAGACATACCCAGAGGTATCCCTCAAAGGTTTATCACTAGAGGTATCCCTCGAAGGATTGTCCCCAGAGAGGTATCCCTCAGAGATTTATCCCCAGAGAGGTATCCCTCAAAGGTATATTCCCAGAGAGGTATCCCTCAAAAGGGTTACTCCCCCGAGAGGTATTCCTCATAGAAGCCTCTCCAGAATTCTCTCATAGAGGTATCCCTCAAGGTATATACCCAGAGTCATTCCTCAGTGAGATACCCAGAGGTATCCCTCAAAGGTATATACATAGAGGTATCCCTCAAATGTATACACAGAGGTATCACTGAAAGGGATACTCCATTGTGACGATTTTTTTCCCTTTCCTGTAAAGTTTCTGTGGGATACCTTGAGAATGCGTCTCCCGATCGATTTCAAACCTTCATCACTTATCTAGCGCACTCAGAGGAAGATTCTGAGTGCCAATCCTCAGGTTTTATTGGGCACTTTGGGATACCGGCACACCGGGGGGGACTCTGCGTTAAGGGATACCAGGAATACCTCTCTTGGCTCGGGTAGTCACCCAAGATAAGACTTTCTCCGGGTTATTAAATTGGAAGCAAGCCAGGATAACCTAGGATAACCCACTGTTACAGTGGGTTCTTTGTTCCACTGTTCCAGTGTTGAACAGTTGTTGTTGCTCTACTGTTCCAGTGTTTAACATTGTTTTTGTTCCATTGTTCCACCGGATAACATCGTTGTTCTTCCATTGTTCCATTTCTGTTTCTCTGTCTCAGTGTTCCATTGCTGTTGTTCCTCTGTTCCAGTGTTTCACTGCTGTTGTTCCTCTGTTCCAGTGTTTCACTGCTGTTGTTCCAGTGTTCCACTGCTGTTGTTCCAGCGTTCCACTGATATTGTTCCAGTGTTCCATTGCTGTTGTTCCTCTGTTCCAGTGTTTCACTGCTGTTCCACTGGTGGTGTTCCACTGTTCCACTGGTGGTGTTCCACTGTTCCAGTGTCTACTAACATAACTCATCGGCTGCAATAAAGAATAAAACAAGTACTTAAGGATCTTAAAATCAGAATATTTAACTTTACTGAGCTATCCTGGGTAGCTTTACATTATGGTTAGTGAGGTTTAAAGCCTATCTACTACACTAGGGTTATTAAGGTATCTTGTAGCAATTTTACCACAACACAAGAATACTTTAATAACTAAAATAGGGATTACGGTTTATTCTCAGTGTATATACAGTAGCTAATACACCACTATGTATGCGTGTATATATATATTATATTTTATATATATATATATATATATATATATATATATATATATATATATATATATATATATATATATATATATATATATATATATTTTTTTTTTTTTTCAACAAGTTGGTCGTCTCCCACCGAGGCAGGGTGACCCAAAAAAGAAAGAAAATCCCCAAAAAGAAAATACTTTCATCATCATTCAACACTTTCACCACACTCACACATTATCACTGTTTTTGCAGAGGTGCTCAGAATACAACAGTTTAGAAGCATACACATATAAAGATACACAACATATCCTCCAAACTGCCAATATCCCAAACCCCTCCTTTAAAGTGCAGGCATTGTACTTCCCATTTCCAGGACTCAAGTCCGACTATAAGAAAATAACCGGTTTCCCTGAATCCCTTCACTAAATATTACCCTGCTCACACTCCCAACAGATCGTCAGGTCCCAAGTATCATTCGTCTCCATTCACTCCTATCTAACACGCTCATGCACGCTTGCTGGAAGTCCAAGCCCCTCGCCCACAAAACCTCCTTTACCCCCTCTTTCCAACCCTTTCGAGGACGACCCCTACCCTCTTTCCTTCCCCTATAGATTTATATGCTTTCCATGTCATTCTACTTTGATCCATTCTCTCTAAATGACCAAACCACCTCAACAACCCCTCTTTTGCCCTCTGACTAATGCTTTTATTAACTCCACACCTTCTCCTAATTTTCACACTCCGAATTTTCTGCATAATATTTACACCACACATTGCCCTTAGACAGGACATCTCCATTGCCTCCAACCGTCTCCTCGCTGCTGCATTTACCACCCAAGCTTCACATCCATATAAGAGTGTTGGTACTACTATACTTTCATACATTCCCTTCTTTGCCTCCATAGATAACGTTTTTTGACTACACATATACCTCAATGCACCACTCACCTTTTTTCCCTCATCAATTCTATGATTAACCTCATCCTTCTTTAAATCCATCCGCCGACACGTCAACTCCCAAGTATCTGAAAACATTCACTTCTTCCATACTCCTCCTCCCCAATTTGATATCCAATTTTTCTTTATCTAAATCATTTGATACCCTCATCACCTTACTCTTTTCTATGTTCACTTTCAACTTTCTACCTTTACACACATTCTCAAACTCATCCACTAACCTTTGCAAATTTTCTTTAGAATCTCCCATAAGCACAGTATCATCAGCAAAAAGTAACTGTGTCAATTCCCATTTTGAATTTGATTCCCCATAATTTAATCCCACCCCTCTCCCGAACACCCTAAGCATTTACTTCTTTTACAACCCCATCTATAAATATATTAAACAAACCATGGTGACATTACACATCCCTGTCTAAGACCTACTTTTACCGGGAAGTAGTCTCCCTCTCTTCTACACACCCTAACCTGAGCCTCACTATCCTCATAAAAGCTCTTTACAGCATTAGTAACTTACCACCTATTCCATAAACTTGCAACATCTGCCACATTGCTCCTCTATCCACTCTATCATATGCCTTTTCTAAATCTATAAATGCAATAAAAACTTCCCTACCTTTATCTAAATACTGTTCACATATATGCTTCAATGTAAACACTTGATCTACACATCCCCTACCCACTCTGAAGCCTCCTTGCTCATCCGCAATTCTACATTCTGTCTTACCTCTAATTCTTTCAATTATAACCCTACCGTATACTTTTCCTGGTATACTCAGTAAACTTATTCCTCTATAATTTTTACAATCTCTTTTGTCCCCTTTCCCTTTATATAAAGGACTATACATGCTCTCTGCCAATCCCTAGGTGCCTTCCCCTCTTTCATACATTTATTAAACAAAAGTACCAACCACTCCAACACTATATCCCCCCCTGCTTTTAACATTTCTGTCATGATCCCATCAGTTCCAGCTGCTTTACCCCCTTTCATTCTACGTAATGCCTCACGTACCTCCACCACACTTACATTCTGCTCTTCTTCACTCCTAAAAGATGGTATACCTCCCTGGCCAGTGCATGAAATTACTGCCTCCCTTTCTTCCTCAACATTTAAAAGTTCCTCAAAATATTCTCGCCATCTACCTAATACCTCCCTCTCCCCATCTACTAACTCTCCTACTCTGTTTTTAACGGACAAATCCATACTTTCCCTAGGCTTTCTTAACTTGTTTAACTCACTCCAAATTTTTTTCTTATTTTCATTAAAATTTCTTGACAGTGCCTCTCCCACTCTTTCATCTTCTCTCCTTTTGCACTCTCTCACCACTCTCTTCACCTTTCTTTTACTCTCCAAATACTCTGCTCTTCATATAACACTTCTGCTTTGTAAAAACCTCTAAAGCTACCTTTTTCTCTTTTATCACACCCTTTATTTCATCATTCCACCAATCACTCCTCTTTCCTCCTGCACCCACCCTCCTATAACCACAAAATTCTGCCCCACATTCTAATACTGCATTTTTAAAACTATTCCAACCCTCTTCAACCCCCCCACTACTCATCTTTGCACTAGCCCACCTTTCTGCCAATAGTCGCTTATATCTCGCCCGAACTTCCTCCTCCCTTAGTTTATACACTTTCACCTCCCTCTTATTTGTTGTTGCCACCTTCCTCTTTTCCCATCTACCTCTTACTCTAACTGTAGCTACAACTAAATAATGATCTGATATATCAGTTGCCCCTCTATAAACATGTACATCCTGGAGCCTACCCATCAACCTTTTATCCACCAATACATAATCTAACAAACTACTTTCATATATATATATATATATATATATATATATATATATATATATATATATATATATATATATATATATATATATATATATATGTCGTGCCGAATAGGCAGAACTTGCGATCTTGGCTTAAATAGCAACGCTCATCTTGCCATATAGGACAAGTGAAAATTTGTGTATTCAATAATTTCGCCAAAATCATTGTGAACCTAACGAAAAAAAATATATTTCATTGTGTTTGTTTAGTATTAAATTATTGTAAACAAATCTAAAATATATTAAGTTGGGTTAGGCTAAAATAAATTGCTCTTGTTATAATAAGGTTAGGTAAGTTTTCTAAGTTCCTTTTGGTGCAAAATTCTAAATTTTTACATTAACTTTAATGAAAAAAATATATCTTTAAACTTGTAAGAGAAAATTTTAGAAAGGACTTAATTTTAAATGAGTTCTTGCTAATTGACCAGTTTTACATATTCGGCACGACATATATATATATATATATATATATATATTATATATATATATATAATATATATATTATATTATATATATATATATGAAAGTAGTTTGTTAGATTATGTATTGGTGGATAAAAGGTTGATGGGTAGGCTCCAGGATGTACATGTTTATAGAGGGGCAACTGATATATCAGATCATTATTTAGTTGTAGCTACAGTTAGAGTACAGTTATATATATATATTATATATATATATATATATATATTATATATATATATATATATATATATATATATATATTGTGTGTGTGTGTGTGTGTGTGTGTGTGTGTGTGGGGTGTGTGGGGTTGCAGGGGTCGATTCACAGCTCCTGGCCCCGCTTCTTCGATGGTCGCTACTAGGTCCTCTCCATACTCCATGAGATTTATCAAACTTCGTCTTTAAACTATGTATGGTTCCTGCCTCCACTACGTCACTTTCTAGGCTATTCCACGGGCTGACAACTCTATGACTGAAGAAATACTTCCTAACATCCCATTGACTCATCAGAGTCTTCAACTTCCAATTGTGACCCCTTGTTGCTGTGTCCCATGTGTACTCACCTAGTTGAGGTTGCAGGGGTCGAGTCCAAGCTCCTGGCCCCGCCTCTTCATTGTTCGCTGCTGTACTCACCTAGTTGAGGTTGCGGGGGTCGAGTCCGAGCTCCTGGCCCCGCCTCTTCACTGATCGCTACTAGGTCACTCTCCCTGAGCCGTGAGCTTTATCATACCTCTGCTTAAAGCTATGTATGGATCCTGCCTCCACTACATCGCTTCCCAAACTGTGTGTGTGTGTGTGTGTGTGTGTGTGTGTGTGTGTACTCACCTATTTGTACTCACCTATTTGTGGTTGCAGGGGTCGAGTCTTAGCTCCTGGCCCCGCCTCTTCACCGGTTGCTACTGGGCCCTCTCTCTCCCCGCTCCATGAGCTTTATCAAACCTCGTCTTAAAACTGTGTATGGTTCCTGCCTCCACTACGTCATTTTCTAGGCTATTCCACTGCCTTACAACTCTATGACTGAAGAAATACTTCCTGTGTGTGTGTGTGTGTGTGTGTGTGTGTGTGTGTGTGTGTGTGTGTGTGTGTGTGTGTGTGTTGTGTGTGTGTGTTTGTGTGTGTGTGTGTGTGTGTGTGTTTGTGTGTGTGTCTCACCTGTAGGAGGAGGTGCACACTGATCCAGTTCCTCACTGAAGAGCAGGTTTGCTGGACACGCGCGCTCAGACACTTGCCATCGTCCCCCAGCACCTTTGCTACACTCGTAATACCCAGCACACAGGTACTTCTGACCCTGCACATACACAAAAATACATTTGCAGAATAATCACAATACCGCTGCAGGAACAATTTACAAATAAATTATCAAGTCGCGTATTAAGAATTATTGATCTTGATACAACGTAAGATGTTTGTGACCCTTTAAATCCCCAATAACAAATCCAGAACAGGACTGAATGTCATCCAAATTTTAACTGGACTTTGCAAGTTAAAAATAATAGGGCTGGATACGGCGTGAGCTATCAGTGGCCCTATAAATCCCCAACACGAAGTCCAGGACGGAACTAAATATCGTCCAAATTTTAACTGTATTTTGCAAGTTATAAATAATAGGAGTCAATACGGCGTATGCTGCCAGAGGCCCTATAAACCAACAATAATTTCATAACGGACGTTCTAAATTATATATATAAAATCTCACATAGAAACAACATTAGCTGTGTATAGTATGGTACATGACTCCTACGGATTTAGTGCCATCCCATGAATAATCACTTCGTTGACTTACCTTAAATTCGCCGCCAGAACACAAGAAATATTGGGAGCAGCCAAGGTTCTCAACTGTGTGTACGACGTGCAGCAGGTCGTTATCGGAACACGGGATGCTGATCTCGAGTGATACCGGCACTGTTATCGGGGCAGGGGTGGTAGTGGTGGTGGTTCTTCGTGTGGTAGTGGTAGTTCTACGTGTGGTTGTGGTTTTTGGTGTGGTGATAGTGGTGGTCGTTTTAGGTGTGATTGTGGTTTTGGGCGTGGTAGTAGTGGTGGTTTCAGGTGTAGTAGTAGTGGTGGTTTTAGGTGTGGTAGTAGTTCTGGGTGTGGTGGTGGTTGTAGTTTTGGGTGTGGTAGTTGTAGTTCTAGGTGTGGTAGTTTTGTAGTTCTGGGTGTGGTAGTTGTAGATCTAGGTGTGGTAGTTGTTGTAGTTCTAGGTGTGGTAGTTGTTGTAGTTCTAGGTGTGGTAGTTGTTGTAGTTCTAGGTGTGGTAGTTGTTGTAGTTCTGGGTGTGGTAGTTGTTGTAGATCTGGGTGTAGTGGTAGTTGTAAGGCGGTGCTGGGAGGTCCCAATATACAGTTGATATTCTCTGAAAATAAAAGAGCGAACATAGAGTCTTGCACTTAAGACGGACTCTCAAGTGAAAGACCCTTGATAAACCCTCACTCAACAGACTCTTATTTGAGAGGTTCTTACCTGAGAGAGACTTAAGTCTCTCACTGGGAACCATGCACCGTGAAAACAGTTTGACGGGGACACAAGAGTCAGCCTGGTGCGTCCAGCAGGTAAACACACACTTAGGATCAACCTTAATAGATATCTCACATAGACGCTACATATAAGGTTCACTACATCAGGGAGACGCTACATATATGGTCCAATGCAACAGGGAGACGCCCTGAAGGGTTAAGTTCGGTATTAACCTTCCTATTATATTCTCAAACATTTGTCTGGCGGAGATGAAAAAATATACAATGGAAAACCCTTGGTGAAATGATTTTAGGCAACAACTGAAGATAAGATAAGATAAGATTTCGTTCGGATTTTTAACCCCGGAGGGTTAGCCACCCAGGATAACCCAAGAAAGTCAGTGCGTCATCAAGGACTGTCTAACTTATTTCCATTGGGTCCTTAATCTTGTCCCCCAGGATGCGACCCACACCAGTCGACTAACACCCAGGTACCTATTTGCTGCTAGGTGAACAGGAGTAAAGAAACGTGTCGGAATGTTTCCACCCGCCGGGAATCGAACCCGGGCCCTCCGTGTGTGAAGCGGGAGCTTTAGCCACCAGGCCACCGGGCCACCAAGGTATCCCTTGTTTTAAACATCACTTAAATGTATCCCTTGTCTTTAAAACAAGCACTTAATTTCATTTATCTGAAGTTAAGAGTTTCTTATGAGAGTATAGTGATTGGGTTGTATAGTAGTGTATATACACTGAGTGGGTGTACCTCACAATGTATATACACTGAGTGGTGTGCACCACAGTGTATATACACTGAGTGGTATCACACAGTGTATATACACCGTGTGTGTACTAATATTCAGTATTTATCAAGGTTGTGCCTATTATATACTAACTCCTATCCCACCCATATTAAAATTAACATACCCAAAGATAACTGGCAACTAAAGTTAGGATTGATTCTCTCTCAGTTACAACTATGAATTTTCCATTCCTCATTATTTTTTTTTTTATAACTGGAGTGTGGAATGTGAGACTTACTAGCTGGGTCGAGAATACAGGCGTTGGTTTCCGGTTCGAAGAGGTGGCCTTCAGCGTTACACACTACCGATGCTGGGATGAAGGTGTTACCTATGTAACATCCCCTGCATAGGGTTCTTGTTACCGTGTCTGGCGGACAGGGTGGTTGCTGGTAACAGAATTCTTCACTGAATCTACATGATAGATGTGTGAAAGGAGATACTGTGGTATTAAGTTGTTCTCGATGTGGTTGTGGAGTGGTAGTGGTGGTTGTTGTTGTGGTAGATGGAGTTGTTGGAGGCGGAGCCGGAGTCGTAGTAGTGGTGGTTGTTGTTGTGGTAGATGGGGTTGTTGGAGGTGGAGCCGGAGTAGTAGTGGTGGTTGTTGTGGTAGATGGAGTCGTTGGAGGTGGAGCGGGAGTAATAGTAGATGCAGTAGTGGGGTGGGTAGTGGTAGTACTAGGATAGTAGGTACCACAAGGAGGTCTCACCATATGGGGGAAGACACACTGATCCAGGTCATCAGAGAACACTGTCCCTGGCTCACACTCGAAGTAACTCGTCCAGAAGAAGCCAGTCTTCATCCTGTCTACACACCTGCACAAAACAACACTTTCACGACAACTGGAAGTGTTAGTCTACACACCTGCACAAAACAACACTTTCACAACAACTGCAAGTGTTAGTCTACACACCTGCACCAGACAACACCACACAACAGCTGGAAGTGTTAGTCTACACACCTGCACCAGACAACACCACACAACAGCTGGAAGTGTTAGTCTACACACCTGCACCAGACAACACCTTCACAACAACTGGAAGTTAGTTTAAAAAAACCTACACCAAAGGAGTGATAGCTACCCGCTGCAGAAACAAAAACTTTCCCCGACCGTAAGCGTTAGTTCCCCTAGACCACTTCCACAATTAATGTTGCGTCCACCCGGATAACACCACCAACAGGAAGTGTTAGCTAGCACACCCTGGACCACAAAAGCAACAGTCATTGATTTAGTTCGATGCCCAGACAACATCACAGCAGTGAAGTGTTGAGCTCACAGCTGTCACCAGGCCACGACTAGCTGGAGATTCGTCTAAAACTTGCACTGATCACAAAGGTGAGCTGTTGCTAACCTTCATCTGTAGAAAACCACACACAGTTGGACGATGTTATTGTCTACCCTGCTACCAGAAGGCACACACAACGTCTGGAGTTTAGTCTACACACCTGACCAGAACACCACACCATGTGGAAGTGTTAGTTCAACCTGCACCAACATCACTGACACCAGGGAGTTAGTAAAACATGAAGAAAAACACACCTGGGAATGTTATTATGGAAACTTTCCTTCACACAATGGGTTTTTGTAAAATACCAGCGGGCGGGTAAAGGAAGAGTATCAAACCTCAACCGTTGTTAGCACTGATAACATAAGTTCATCAACTTACTACACCTGAAGGTTCTGGTCCATGTGACCAAGAATGCAACGTGGGCGATTACGTTTCGTAAGTACATGTTACCATAGGGACATGAGCTAAGTTGTCAACCCAGTCGGTTCTCTTAAAACTGCATTTTGTGAAGTTATAACTTTCTATGGTGTAAAATATGCCTTAGTGGTGAATCTTATTGTGGCTAGCTGGTCTAGTGGCTAACGCGACGGGCTGGAGTTTTGAGACTCTCTGACCGCGGGTTCTATCCCGCCTGTGGTATGGTTTGTTTGCAATCGTGTCATTACGATTTCGTGAGTCAGGAAGTTAGTAAACACGTGCAACACTTGGGTATCTTATATGGAAACGTTTCGCTCACACAATAGAGTTCTTCAGTCAAATACAGAGGCAGCAGGTGTGGTAAAGTGAAGATGTAATCAAACCGTCAACCTTGATTGACTGATTACATCGTCACATCACTACTGCACCTACTGCCTCTGTACTGAACTGAAGAAAGCCACTGTGGGGCATACGTTTCCACAATAAAGATACCCAAGTGTTGCCCCTGTGACCTAATTTATCAACTTGTCGGGTCTCTTTAGAAAACGACAATGTATATAAAGTTCAGACATAATGATGCGACCTTCTGTTTTATATGTGTTATGTTATATTCCAACGTGGTAAACTACTAAAATCCAGTTTGAGTTAACATAAGAGTTATAAAATTTTATCAAGAGAGCATGACTAAATAATACGATGCTGACATCTAATGATGAGATGAACGTGTGGATCCAAATGGCAGTTTTCACGTACCTCTTAACAGTAATAATAATCTCGTTGAGCCTTACTCCAGCTTAGTGCTAATCAGGGTAATAACAGATTAAGCAATTCATTGAACTGCCTCCGACAAGGTGGGGTCAGGATACCTGTCTATCTTCACACAGCAAGTCATGAACCCCGCTTACCTGAAATTTAGTCAGGAACCTGTCATATCTGCAGAGGTCCGTGGAAACCTGCCTTACCTGACAGCAATCAGGATGCCTTCATAATCTGACAGTCGTGGAAACCTGCCACCTGACAGCTAGTCAGGATCGGTCTTAGTCAGACAGTCGTGAAACCTGCCTTACCTACCATCTAGACAGGATGCCTGACTATCCTGACAGTCCGTGGAAACCTTGCCATACCTGACATCTAGTCAGGATGCCCTGTCTTTATTCTGACAGTCGTGGAAACCTAGCCTTCCCTACAGCTGTCCAAGGATGCCTGTCTTATCTGACAGTCGTGGAAACCTCCTTACCTGACAGCTATCAGGGACACCTGTCCTTATCTGCAGTCGTAGGAAACATGCCTTACCTGACTCGCTAGTCATGATGCCTGTCTTTTCTGACAGTCGTGAAACCTGCCTTACCTGACAGCAAGGAGGGATGCCTGTCTTATCTGGACAGTCGTGGAAACCTTACCTGCCTTACCTGACAGCTAGTTCAGGGAGGCCTGTCTTATCTGACAGTCGTGAATATGCCCTTTAATGACACTAGCAGGATACCTGTCTTATCTACAGTCGTGGAAACCTGCCTTACTTGACAGCTAGTCAGGATACCTGTCTATCCTACCAGTCGTGAAACCTGCCTACTGACAGTCTAGTCAGACACCTGATCTTATCTTACAGACGTTGGAAACATGCAATACTTGACAAGCTAGTCAGGGATTATACCTGTCCTTATCTGACATCGTGGAAACATGCTCCGTACCTGACAAGCTAAGTCAGGGATACCTATCTAATCCAGACAGTCGTGGAAATCCTGCCTTAACTTGACACTATCAGGATAACCTGTCTTATTTCTGACAGTCCGTGGAAACATGCCTTACCTGACAGCTATCAGGATACCTGTCTTATCTATCTGACAGTCCGTGAAACACCTGCATTACCTGACAGCTAGTCAGGGATACCTGTCTTATCTGACGTCATTGAAACATGCCTTACCTGACAGCTAAAAAAGTCAGAATACCTGTCTTATCTGACAGTCAATGAAACCATGCCTTACCTGACAGCGCGTCAGGGATACCTGCTTATCTGACAGTCGTGGAAACCTGCCTTACCTGACAGCTAGTCAGGGATACCTATCTTATCTGACAGTCGTGGAAACCTGCCTTACCTGACAGCTAGTCAGGGATACCTGTCTTATCTGACAGTTCACTGAAACATGCCATACCCCTACCGCTAGTGTCAGGGGATACCTTATCTTATCTGACTGTCTGGAAAGCCGCCTACCTGCACAAGCACAGTCCAGGGAAACCTGACCATAAATGATAGAACTAATTTAATGGTATACTCCACGGAACCTGGCGTACCGAGAGAGCTATAACACATGAGGCTGAGCCACTGACCAGTAGTACCAAGTACATTATCCTGGGATGCGGAAGACTCCCTCCTGCTCACATATCACCCACGGCAACACAATGTAGACCGATAGCGAAAGTCCTGACAAAAAAACAACACAAACAACACACACCTTATACCACATCCCAATACTGTGGAAAGCCTAGCTAGTTTAATAACTACTGAAAATTAGACACTTGATAATATCTGGGTATCTTTATTTGTAGACGTTTCGCATCAGTTGTTTTGACAATACAAAGACATAACTTTGAAGAAAGTAGAATTATATACTACTTATATATCTTCATTATTGCACACAATAGCCCATCCCAGTTGGACGGTGGTCAAAAACATTACCATGGTACATAATGGTCCAGGGACTGTACCTCAATCATTACAGAGGTAAAAAAAAGGGTCCAGGGACTGTACCTCAACATTACAGTGGTACATAATGGGTTCAAGGGACTGTACCTACAAACATACAGGGTACATAATGTGGGTCCAGGGAATGTTCCTCAACATTACAGAGGAAACATAATGGGTCCCAGAACAGTACCTCAACATGTACAGTGAACATAATGTTTCCAGGACAGTACTTCAAAATACAGTGGTACATAATGGTTCCAGGGACGTACCTCAACATTAGTGGTACATAATGGGTCCAGCGATTGTATCCTCAACATTAACAGTGTTACATACTGGGTCCATGGACTGTACCTCAAATTAACTAAGTGGTACATAATGGGTCAGAGCCTGTACCTCAAACATTACAGTGGTATATAATGGGTCCCAGGACTGACCTCAACATAAAATGGTACATAATAGGTCCAGAATTGTACCTCAACATTACAGTGTTACATAAGGTCCAGGGACTGTACCTACAAACAATTACAGTGGTACTAATGGGTCCAGAGACTGTACCTCAACAATACGTGGTACATAATGGGTCCAGGACTGTACCTCAACATTTACAGTGAGGTACATAATTGGGTCCAGAGATTGTACCTCAACTTTACAGTGGGTACATAATGGGTCCAGGGATTGGTACCTCCAACATACAGGTGTACATAATGGGTCCAGGGATTGTACCTCCAACATTGTGTTACATAATGGGTCCAGGATTGTACCTTCAACATTACAGTGGTACATAATGTCCAAGGGATATGTAACCTCAACATTACAGTGGAACATAATGGTCCAGGACCTGTTCCTCAACATTACAGTGGTACATAATGGTCCAGGGACCTGTAAGTGTACCTCAACAAAACAGTGGTACCATAACATGGGTCCAGGGATTGTACTCACAACATTAACAGAGGACATAATGGGGTCCAGTATTGTACCTCAACATTAGTGTGTAACAGACATAATGGGTCCCAGTGATTGTCTCAACATTACAGTGGAACATAATGGTCCAGGGATTTGTACCCAGCGCGCGAGCACGCGTGAGTGGTCATATATGGTGTCCAGAGACGTACCTAACATTACCGTGGTACATAATGGGTCCCAGATACTGTACCGTCAACATAACGTGTGAACATAATGTTTCCCAGGGATTGTCCTCAACATAACAGTGGTACATAATGGTCCAGGGATTTGTACCTCAACATTAGTTGGTACATAATGGGTCCAAGGATTGTACCCTCAACATTAACAGTGGAACATAATGGGTCCAGGGATTGTACCTCAACTTACAGTGGTACAAGAATGTCCAGGGACTGTCACGACAACATTACAGAGGGAACATAATGGGTCCAGGGACAGTACCTCAACATTACCGTGGTACATAATG